TTGGGCAGCACTCCTCATGTGCTTTTTCGGGTGTGTTTTAGTTCAACTTGCCTGCTTGATAGTAAGACAACTTCTTATGCTTGGTGCGCAAACAGCTTTTATAGGGATTTTTTCGTAGAGATTTTGCTTTGGTTCGAATTAAATCAGAATATGAAATGATCATATGCACATTCTACTGGATGTGGAGGTGCATTGACATCCGTAGTTTTATAGCAGCAACAATTTTGAGGCCACCTTTACAAAACACTGGCATTTTTCGGAGAAATCCCAATATGAATTGCTTTTGGTTTTTCTTGCCCCCCAAAGGCCGGTATCACCATCAAATGCAAAATTTGCTGCACATGTATTCTTCGCCATTTCTTCCCTCCCCTCTACCTACTTGATGACAACCTGGGAAGGACTCTTGAGTGGTTGGAGCTGGTCAGGCTCGAAGACACTACCGTCCAGAAGGAGAGCGTAGTTTGATGGTGTGCAATGATAGAAGGGTTCGGGGAAGGGGATAGGGAACGGTCGTACCAAGACCCCGGTCAGGGGGGTTTGCACTACGGCGGAGACTTCCTCGACAAATGTTCAACTTGCTAGAGGATAGTCATCAGTTCGTTCCTGCTAAACAGCATGAATGCGTTGAACTCTTTTACTTGCTCCGTCTAAGGATTCAAATGTCGTTCTATTTCCTGAAACCTTCGTATCTATGAGGTACTATGATGTCCATGAAACGTACGCAAGGGTGATATTGCTATAGCGAAGTAGAGGGATTCATAGAAGAGCTTTTGAATAGCTAACAATTATTGTTAACTAAGCTAACTTTTTGAAAGTGCACTGAAATCCGTAGTTTTAAAGCAGCAATTTTGTGGTCCAGTTTTACAAGACTTATATTTTTCAGAAGAGTTCACCAATTTAAATTGCTTTTGGTAATTCTCGCCCCAAAAGGCGGTAGCAGACTATAAATATATAGACTATAAATATACCTTTCGGTAGAAAGTGCCCAAAAGCTACTAGAAAATTTAGTTCGTTCAACTAAAAGTAACAGAAAAAAAGGTGTCTTCAATGAGAATCCCACAACGACCCAGTCTGTAAAGCAGATTCGAAACTAGGTCCTTTTTATTGTAACCCACGCCTTGGAAAGGACGGCAGCTTCTCGCTGGCAACCAGTGCTTTGTTTGGATTTTCGTAGGTTATCTACATTCAGAGCCTCAGTAATATTCCTCAATTGGTCATTCACATACAGTCGAGGAGCTTATGCACAACACACATCTCACTAGGCACGCGTACCGAGAAACCGCGGGATCACTCGTGGGAAGCGTTTCATGGGAACGTCACCGCTAAAAATTCTGTGGGTACTGGTTAGTAAGGAAGTTTTTCTATTCTCATGAGACCGTGAACAGAATTGCATTCGACAGAGGCCAAGACAATGGTGCTATTGGACGACGTTGTCTCTATGACAATGCGCTAGTGTGGATTATCGAACGATGTTTGGCTACTATCCAGGGTGCTCGTCAAAGTTCCTCAGAACTTCCGATCTCGCCCAGAGAAGTTGTATCTGAAGCCCACGTACGCAATGGACTAATATTTGCCCATAAGTAACACGATATTAACTTCGTCCGGTTTAGACAAACGCGAATGACTTGAGGAGTTTAGGTCAGCATGAAGCTTAAGAAAAGGTAGGGTTATCGGGGGTGTTTAGCTCGCACATAGTTATCGATTTGTTAATTTTTATCGACAATGATTCGGAAAGTTAAGGTTTTGCACTGCGAACTTAATAGCCTACCTGCAATCGTCTCACTTCTTGATCTCCCTTCTGATTTGGCGCCCCTTGTGCGCTCGATCATTTTAGAAAAAAAAGTAGATGGACCCCCAAATAAGGGACGCCTAGTGGTTGATAAAGCTTCATTGTAAAGGCAAAGGATAGAACAGGTTAGTGTCGAACCGCGTTTCATGCAAGCAGGGACAACCGTCTTCCGTGAGTAGTTGGTATTATTAACTGAGGAGGCGTCGGTATTTGGGTGTTTCTTGGAAGTCAGGCTAGTCGGGCCTTATTTCGCTTATTTGGGTGTTTGTAGTCATCTAAGGAAGTGTTGAATGTGAGATACTCGAGTGGGAGTAGGATGAGTGGGGTGAGCAGTACTGCTAGTACAAGCCTGTGGTGTAAATGGGTGGGAAGCGAGACATATTTTTGGCGTGACCGGCACACCTCCCTCGCTGTGGTGAGTGAGGGTTGTGCGTTGTAGTCAGAGGCTTCCCGCTGGAAGTGAGAAGGATGTCTGTAATATTTCCTCAAATTTTCCTAACGTCGCGACTGATCTGCAAGCGAACCCGAACTAATGCGGTAACATAATTAGCAGAACCTATCCAAGCAACGATCCCTGACGGGACTGTGTGAAAGGATCCATTGTATGAGTAGAATAGAGTTACCCACACGGGTTACAGATGTGCCGTTGTCGCGGCTCGAAAGGGCGCGACATGACTCCAAGGCCCTACAAAGTGATCTGGTGGTAGCTATGTGACCTTTACGGACGGCACACTCGCGCTGTCCTCATGCACTATGAGTTACGTCATCACGACTGACAGATAGCCGATAGCTCACGCCTCATCGCAATGTGAGCGGTTGCACTTTTTGAAAAAACTTTAGCTCGCGTCCCTCCTCTCGTGCCATTCATTATTTATTTAACACGTGACGACAGCATGACGCGCATGCGCGTCAGATTTTCCACCCGCGGATGGGGCTCGTTTTGATCGGTTTATTTGGCATGTTTCATATTTCAAACTGTCTGGATGCATAATCTTATCCGGAAAACTGTGCACCAATTAACAGTGGTGGAATTGTTGAAGGAGTAACGTCTATTTTGAAAATAATAAACAAAAAGTTGTCGAGATGCGCGCACAACGGGCTGTCGTCAACGTGTCAAAGACGCGCTTCGCGATCAGGCGGGCTCGCCTGTTCCATCCACGGGTGTAGTAGGCAGGTGGACAAGTGTTGATGTCGGGCCCCTTTTGCGGCTTGAAGTACGCGCGACAAAGGCGCAAGGAGCTCGTCCAACCCGCAACTCACGCCTTGCGTCCGCAAGCCCCACCCTAGCTGCCACGTGGCGCTACTTGAAAAGCGCGGGCGCATTTGTGGCAGTGGTCCCAGCGCGATCCAATGTTATTGACACTGGAGCAAGTAGAGTTAGGTTCGGTGAAACTCGTCCAATTCGCCTCTTCTCTATTCCAAGGTGGAATGTGGCTGAAATAGGGGAGGTCTCTGTACGGGGCGTAATCGGTGGTTTCGTTTGCTTTCCTTTCTCTTACAGACCACCTCCCACCTATAGCTTCATAACTGAACGCTTTTCCACACCTATTTTATCCCGAATCTTGCCTTTAAGTCGGTCGTTACCCTTACCATTTTACAACTGGGTGTTGTTGCCTTACGTCTTCATACAGATAAGCAAAAGCAAGAGCAAAAGCTTTACAAAAAAGATCGAAAGTGAGGAGGCCGTCGTCGACGAAACATTTTAACAATACCAATATATCGGCAATGATTTCATGAGTTTCCACCTGCCCAAGCGCCCCATAGAGACAGAGAAATCATTGCTAATTACTGTCGCTATGAAGATAAATAAGACGAATTCCACTGCGTTGTGGATGATCCGTAAAGGAACGGGCGATCGGCACGGAATATTGGGAAGATGTTACGAAGAGTGAACATTCGTTTCGAGATTGTCTGGGCAAGTTCGTCAGGTTCACTGCCTTCCTCATCGACCTGTAGGGAGAGGACCGTAAGTCGACGAGCTCAAAGAAAGAACTAGGAAAAATCGAGCAAAAGCTCTTCACACAGAACCTTTTCTAGAAAAATTCCAACCACTAATACCGACTTCTCCAAGAGCTTTAATTTGGGAAGCAATAAAGTTTTCGCTATACCCCCGCCCCTACGCCCCTCCCCACGGCCCCACTCAATACCCTCTATCTTCGTGTGTCGCCTCCACATGGAGAAACCCATCGCATAAGCCGGCCCGCAAATGAGGACCTTTCGCGCTCTTTCAGATTGCACTCGTTATGGAATCTCCAGATGTTGGTTACCGGTAGATGGCTAACTATGTCAACAGTGTCACAAGCTTCGATATCCGGCTTCGACTAGGTTAGTGCTCTACAAAGTATCTTAGCGTGCACAGCCCCCCCACACCCGCCCCACTCTGATTAGCTCTACAAGAATTTCGCGATACCACATCTGTGAAAACGCAAACCTCCATGTCGGGCGCTTGCACATTGCACCCGAACGCTCTCGACGTCTCCGACGTAGAGCTCATCCGGTGATACTCCTTTTAAGTCACAGGCATCATCGCTGAAGAGCTCCGTGACTCCTAACTTTTGCAACATATCTTTCATATCCGGTGAGGAGGACAGCTTGAATTTTGGAATGGTGACCTAAAAATTGTGTAACTTGAAAGCAGTGATCACGACGGCTGGAGGGTGGGTGGTTTCGATGACTCCTAAACATCATCGGTGGAACAGCCCCTCACCGCTGGGCCGTTGTAGGGCCGCCTCTTAGAGCCCTCCAAAATGACGTCTACGACGTCTCAAATACCGCACATCCTCCAGCCATCGCGATTCCGCCTTTAAATCCCTCTTCTATCGCACTCTCGCACTGACTATAAAGCTCAACCTCCAAAAATCTCTATCTCATGTATTCGCGCTCGCAATAACACTCCTTCTTCCCTATATTATCCAGAGGCTCGAACGGAAACTTGATGGTTTTTGTGCCAATTTCCAAGAAAAGGCTCAATGCGCATCGGCGCTCTGATGAAGAGGTAGCCCGGTCACCACATCAATGTAGTTTTGGGTATTTGTTAGAAACGATTACGCCTTGACCAAATTTCTAACAGAACAAGCATCGAAGGGACTCACATTCACTCCACTGTGCGTCTTTTCAGCTTTGTCTACAAGTTCTTTGATCTTATCACCAGTAAATCCTTCTCGAAATTGCGCGAACGGAACATTCTCTTCTGGGAGGAAAATGACAAATTCGTAGTTGTTGTCCTGGAAACACGATATATGCTGAAGTGAATTCCAAAAACTATATCGCGTTTATACTTGAGATAGGCAAAGATACACCTTTGACGCGCATCAAGATGCTTTGCAAGGTAGTTAACCCATTGCGAACCGCGTGCTACAGTATTGCCTGCACAATAGCGCGTGCAGTCACGCCACCACACAGAAAATGCGTGAATTAGTTTTAGATTTATTTAGCCAATGTTAACATTACTCAATGTCATCAGAAGCTCTTTTTCTGCACAGAAAATGTCATCCAAGCTACTATAAAGCGCCTCGTCTGTTGTCCGTCGTCTGTCGTCTGTACGTTTGCGACGAAAATTCATAACTCGGCTCCAAGAAGTCCCGGAGGCTGGGAAAAAGGGAGTAGAGGTCGGCGAAGGAAAGGAGGTCAACTGCTATTAGTGGGTAGAGCACGCACCTAAGTGGGCGGAGTTTGCCAAAAGTGTCGTAATTTGGTTCCAAGAGGTCCCAGAGACCGGGGGTACCCCCCAGGAGGCCCGTCGCGCGGCAAGAAGGCAGAGTCGGCGGACGAGTTGCAGCGCGTGATGTGCGATGTAGGACGTGCAATGGGACACTCTATTTAACTTGACGCGAAATCCCTATAGTACGCGCGCGACTCGTCCGCTGACTTTGCCTTCTTGCCGCGCGACGGGCCTCCTGGGGGTACCCCAGAGACCGGTGAAAAAAAGGGGTAGAGGTCGGCGAAAGGAAGGGGGCCAAATGCTATTGGTGGGCGGGGCACGCACCGAAGTAGGCGGAGTTTGCCACGAGATTTATTGTCCGGAAGCAGTCCGGAGACCGGGAAAAAGAGGATAATGGTTGACGAAGAAAAAGAGGTTGAAAGCCGTCGATGATGGAGCGGATAGAATTTAGCTGAGAATTCAGATATTCGTGGTGTATCAAGCCAAATTTGAAAATTTTCGTCGCACCATCAAAATTCGCCGCAGATCTGTGTTGCGCGCGCAATGCGTGCGGCGCCAACTGGTATATTTATATTGATAAAACTATAGATAGATTATTTGGTATTGATAGAACAGACGGCAAAATCCCACGGAAGTGATCACATAACGGCGGCCCGCAATGTGTTAAAGGCACAGCCCGCGATCAAAACCCCAGAAGAAATTCTCTCACGTAGTAGCTTCCCAAACACGTGATGACGACACGGTCGCGATTCGAAATCACGCGACAAGGGCACAAAGGCCTAGCTTTGATGATCAGCGCCATGTTCACTGGTTCGCAACAGCGCGTCTCGCCCTTACAAAAGACGGGCTATCTCGCGTATACCCCC